TCTGGGCGCTACAGAAAGCAATTTGGCATGGTTATAAGCTTTAGTCATAATTTGTTTATGTAAGCAAAATGTTCACAATCTTTAAAAGACAGGTTTAAATATTTCTTCCAACTAATGCACGTAAAATTGTGGTTATTTTCAAATATAAATTTAGGTTACATTGACATAATTTCATTTGGGCCAAAACAACAAATATAAATAAAGCTTAATTTTAAAAATTCAAGAATAACACAGTATTCCCATCATGATTTTATAAATAAACTACTGCACAATAATTCCACTCTGGAAACTTAACTCTAAGTATCACACTGATTTCGAAAACAGCTCATTTTCAAAAACAAATTAGGTATTAGAGGACACAGATTTACAAACAATTAGAAAATAAATTATCCTTCAAGTCTGGGTATTTGGTTAAAAAAAAAGAAAAAGAATGGGAGGGAGGGAGGGAGGGGGGAGGGGGGAGGAGGGAGGGAGGGAGGGAGGGAGGGAAGGAAGTTAGGAAGGAAGGAAGGAAGGAAGGAAGGCAGGCAGGCAGGCAGGCAGGCAGGCAGGCAAACAAAACTGAAAAATATCAGTACAAATAAATGTGCAAAATCAATCCCAAAACCTCCCTCCAATCTTTCCTTCCCAGTACAGAACACTTTCAGAAGATACTGTATCAGACTTGCCTTTACCTTCTCTAGGTCTCCAGGAGCAATCTGTAGAGCAGAATTCACCTCCAGAGAAAAAATACCAGATTCCCTCTAACAACACCCACTTCACTAATTTCAGTGCCTTAGAGAGCAAGATATCCTAAGGGTTTTTGGTTTTCTCTTTTTCTTCTCTTTCTGTTAACTGAATATCCTAAGATTCTGTAGCTAGGACTCAAATATGTACTTACTGCAGGCTGAGTTGGAAATCAACATACTAAAGTAACAATTTCAGGTGCCCTGTGAGCTACATTAGCTTCGACCAGATTAATTGGAGAATTTAACATGGATTTATATAATTTTTTCCCTACAGGAAAAAAGCTCCAAAAATTGCATTATTTTGGAATTTAGTTTATAATTGCCTGTATAATAAAATATTGAGTCAAAACAAAGAGATTCACAAAGGAAAAAAACAACATACCGCTGACTTCACTAACAATAGATATTCCAGAGAATAGCAACTGCTAAATTATAAACTATTTGGAATTAGTTGATTGACAGCTTAATAAAGTTTATGGCAACTAGACTCAAGAGAAGACATTTTCATTAAAGAAGTAACGGTTGAAAACAGTTTAAGGTCATATAATTGTTGAAATCTTAATAATATAACACATTACAGAACATATCTCATCATGGAATCTTGTAACTGATAATTAACAAGTTTAAAATATTATTTGCCATTACCGAACAGAATAAAGAATAATTGTAGAATGTACAGATTATTATCATTATTATTATTATTATTATTATGAGACAGAGTCTCACTCTTTCGCCCAGGCTGGAGTGCAGCGGTGCGATCTCGGCTCACTGCAAGCTTCGCCTCCTGGGTTCAGGTCATTCTTCTGCCTCAGCCTCCCGAGTAGCTGGGACTACAGGTGCCCCCACCACGCCAGGCTAATTTTTGTATTTTCAGTAGAGACGGGGTTTCACCTTGTTAGCCAGGATGGTCTCAATCTCAACACCCCGTGATCCGCCTGCCTCAGCCTCCCAAAGTGCTGAGATTACAGGCATGAGTCACCACGCCTGGCCCAGAATGTGTAGATTATTTTTTAACCGGTGTGGTAGTATGAGTATTACTCATTTAGGTATAGACATTTTAAAGGCATATTATGATTCACAAATAGCATACTGTATTTAAATGCATTCAAATATAACATGCATAAAGTAATTTTAAAAGAAAAATACTACTTTGCAATAAAAAATAACCAGTCCAGGCATAGTGGCTCATGCCTATAATGCCAACACTTTGGAAGCCAAGGCAGTAGGATCCCTTGAGTCCGGGAGTTCGAGACCAGCCTGGGCAATATAGTGAGACCTCGTTTCTACAAAACCCTAAAAAAAAAGTTAGCAGAGAGTGGTGGTGCACACCTGTCATCCCAGCTACTCGGGAGACTGAGGTGAGAGGATGGCTTGAGCCCAGGAGGCAGAGGTTGGAGTGGGTCAAGATGGCGCCACCGCACTCCAGCCTGGGTGACAGAGAGAGACTCGATCTCAAACAACAACAACAAAACCCACCAATAAAAATAACCAATATAATAAGATCAGGAAGTTTAAAGTGGAGGTAATAAGATCAGAAGTTTAATGGAGAAAAAAAAATATTTGCATCTGTCTGTGTGCCAAATATTTCACCTCATTTAATATTCACAAATACCACACAAAATAGGCATTTCTATTTTTTCCCTTTTCACAGAGGAACTCAAACTAAAGGTAACAACATCTCTGGGCCTAGAGAAACAGTAAATAGCAGACTCAGGGTTTGAATCCATATCTCGTTGATGCTAAAGTCTTTGCCCCTTCCCCTATCATGCTATTTAAGAGAGATCACATATATTAAACAAAAATTTGAAATCACTCCCATTTTTCACTTCTTTTATTTATTTATTTATTTCTAAGACGGAGTCTCGCTCTGTCGCCCAGGCTGGAATGCAGTGGCCAGGCTCTTTAATTTTTAAAAGACAACTGAGAAGGCCGGCCATGGTGGCTCAAGCCTGTAATCCCAGCACTTTGGGAGACTGAGGTGGGAGGATCACCTGAGGTCAGGAGTTCGAGACCAGCCTGACCAATATGGTGAAACCTTGTCTCTACTAAAAATGCAAAAAAATATTAGCAGGGCATGGTAGCCTGTGCCTGTAATCCCAGCTACTTAGGAGGCTGAGGTAGGAAAATTGCTTGAACCTGGGAGGCGGAAGTTGCAGTGAGCCGAGATCTCACTACTGCACTCCAGCCTGGTGACAGGGTGAGACTGTCTCAAAAACAAAAACATAACAAAACAGAAAAAACAACAAAAGAAAGTAAAGAGAACCAACAAAAAAAATTTTTTTAAAGAGGATGTAAATGTCATGTATTTTTTTAGTTGGACTAGTTCCACTTTGACACCTAAAAATGATCAATTTTTTTTTTTTTTTTTTTTGAGACGGAGTTTCGCTTTGTCACCCAGATTGGAGTTCAGTGGCCCGATCTCTGCTTACTGCAACCTCCACCTTCCGGTTTCAAGTGATTCTCCTGCCTCAGCCTAAGGAGTAGCTGGGATTACACGCGCCCGCCACCACGCCAGGCTAATTTTTGTATTTTTAGTAGAGATGAGGTTTCGCCATGTTAGCCAGGCTGGTCTCGAACTCCTGACCTCGTGATCCGCCAGCCTCGGCCTCCCAAAGTGCTGGAATTACAGGAGTGAGTCACCGCGCCCGGCAAAATGATCAATATTTATAAATACATCTGTACAACACATAATGACTTGTTGAACTCATCTAACCTTCTCTGGATGCTATTTAGGGAATAAAACACAGGTTGCTTGTTATGAACATATAAGGAGAGAAGCAAAAGCCCAATGCTAATATTGGCCATATCCTAGAAGAGGAGAAAATTAGAAGTTCTAGGTCAAAAAAACTTTTGTTGGTTACAGAGTTTCAGGGCGATTTCATTAGAGTCCACCAATGGTCGCCTCTTCTGTTTCTAGATATCTTGTTTTCCTTCTTTCCCAAGCATTCCCCCAGATCGTCCATGAAGCCTTTTTTTTTCTCACAGTGTCAGTGCAGCTAACCAACCATACATCAGGCCCAAAAATTGTTAAAAGAATTGAACTGGTAACCTGTCTTAAAGCAAAAGAAAAAAAAAGTAACAGGATTTTACAGTTGGGAGGTGTTTTATATCCTGAGAAAATCTGGGTTCAGAGACTCTTTTTACTGTATTACAAGGGCTAAATGAGGCTGGGAGAGAGGAAGTGACCGAGGGCCGAGCGTGAGCTGGCAGCAGGGCCAAAGGTTTAAGCTTGATCTCAGAACTGCACTCCCGGCTTTCCCCATCCCCGTCCCGGGCCGAGCCTCAGGGCCGGCCCCGCCCTAAAGCTTGCGGGGACTGGGCTCGAGAGCGCCAGCCGCAGCCCACAGCACGCCTAAAATAACACCCCGCCCCACGGGGCTCCTTTCTACGGTAGATAGGTTAGGTGACAGTGCGGAGTTTAGAGAACCAGAGGGAAGGCACGGAGAAGAAAAATAGGTCTCCCCTTCCGGCAACTGCGGGCGCACACGGCCTCTAACCCAAATCCGCGCTCCTGCTGCCTTCACCCACCACACGATCAGCTACGTGCTAACCTCTGCGCGCTGGGGGACCCCCAAAGGTTGGCCTCCGGGATCCCTCTCCCAGTCCACTCTAGAGACGAATCTGGTCCCCAAAATGTAAGAAAAGAAGGGGCGCAGGAACAAAGCGACCCCAAACGGTGCCCCCCAAGGCGAGCGGGCGCGGACTACGAATCCCGGCATGCCGCGCGCCGGCGGCCCTCGGCCACCGCCACGCGGGCGGCGCGCTGGCCGCCGGGACTCGTAGTCTGCGGCCCGGCGACTCCGGGGGGCGGACCAGGGGCGCGGGACAGGCCGGCCCGCGTCGCGTCAAGCCCCAAGGAGCCAGCCGGCTGCCCGAGCCTCACCTCGACGATGCGGGCGCACTGAGTCCCCTTGCCGGCGCCGGGGCCGCCGAGGACGAACACTACCAGCGGCTTCATGAGATGGGGAGGGCAGAAGAGAATCGGCCGGCGGGTCTGCAGCAGGCAGCTAAGGCCGAGGGCGTGGAGCAGTCGGCTGCGGCAGCGGCTCAGCATACACCGCTGCTCGGCCGGACGCTGAGGGAGCTGACAGCGGCCGGCGAGGCGCGGGGCGGGGCAGGGAGGCGGTAGGAGAAAGGGGCGGGCTGAGCCGGCGCCCGCCGCGGCCCCGCCGCCGTGGCTGCCCAGGCGTCCGCGGCGCGGTCGGAAGGGGAGGAGCTTCGCGCAGCGGCTGCGTCTCGGAGACACTCTTGCAGTCCGCGCCAGCTTTTCTCCACCGCTTAGGTGGTTATTAGCACTTTCTGACCGCAGATATTTTATCCTGCGCCCCCAGGTGTCTGGTGCTGACCTGAAGGCTGGGACGTGATCCGCGGGAGAGCAAAACCCATTGTCTCTGCTCGCAAGGAGTTTCCATTCCAGCCAGTGAGGTACGCGGAGGTAGCCGGTGTGAATGAGTAAACACCAGTACATACAAACGGCAGTACGATTTTGAAGAAATAACAAGTAGGACATAAGATGGCCAGTGTCGCCAGAGAAGGCTTCAGAAGAAGTGACATTCAAGCCAAGACAAAAGGATAGAAAAGAGCGAAACCAGGCAAACACCAGGATAGAGTGTTCCACAGAGAAAAGCATGTGCAAAAAATCTAAGTTGACTTGGCATGTTAGAGCAACTGAAGGAAGGCCTGGCTGGGCGCGGTGGCTCACTCCTGTAATCCCAGCACGTTGGGAGGCTGAGGCAGGAATGATCGCTTGAGCCCAGGAGTTCGAGACCAGCCTGGACAAAATGACGAGACCCGTCTCGACCAAAAATTTAAAAGCCGGGCTCCGTGACCCGTGCCTGTGATCGCACCACTGCACTAGGTGACAGTGAGACTGCTTCAAAAAAAGAAAAAGAAAAAAGGCCAGTGACAGTGAGACCAGGGCTGAGTTAAATGAGGGGAGAATGGAAGGTGAAAAGTTGAGAAAGTGAGGTCGGTGGCAGATCAGGACTTTTGGTTATGGAAAAGAATTTGGGCTGTATTCTAACTGCAGTGGAAGCCCTTTAACTCCGTTCGCCTGCCCCCTTCATTAGGGAAAAATCTTAAGGGAGAAGAAAAGGAGAAGTTCAAGAACTGAGCCTTGGTGAATACAGGCCTTTAAAAGGCCTTCTGGCCAACGTTAAGAGCTCATTTGATATTTGAGGTAATGGATTTAAAATAATTGAAGATGTTTGGCCATTTCAGGCACAGGCAGAGAAGGCAGCTTGTTGCATTTATTGAGGGTTGGGGTTTTTCCTGGCAAGTACAACAGAGAGAGAGGGCCAAGTGATGAGAGTGTTTGCAAGATAATGTTTATGATGCTGTCTGTAGAATCAAAACCGTACAGGAAAGCAAATAATGGCACATGAAGCCTGGTAGTGGAGGGGTTGGAGGGTGGTGGGGAAAGTGACCAAGGTCTTAGAGCATTGACCCAAGAAAGGTTGCAGTGGGTTATATGAGCAAGTGCGCTGGCAGTATAGATGCTGCTGGTCTGAGTGGGATATTTGGAATTGAAATGTCCCAACTTGTAAGTTTCTGATGATGCCAAGGTCCAGGGTGAGACCGTGGGAATGGAAGGCTGAGGCAGAATGCATGCCCTGTTTATAGAACTAAGAGTCCAGGGTATTAGATTTGTCGTACAGGTACAAATTCAAGTCAGATAGTACTGGAGTGAACAGAGACTATGGGAAAGGAACTAAGCTATTGAGAGCAAAGTGACCAGGATGTTAGTAAATGAAAGCAAACAGGAGAGGAAGATGGTGGTATAGCCCTCTGTCTGAGCACCCCCATTCTCCTTTTTCTTTTGGTGCTCCTTTCTTAGCTCACTCAGTGGTTTCTGACTCTTCCCTATCTCCACTGTCTCTCCTTGCTTTCTTTTTGTTGTTGTTGTTTTTACTTATTCCCATCCTTCCTGCCCTTCTTTTCCCATTTATAAGTCCCTCCCTTCTCCCTGTTTCTTTTCCTGTCCTTCTCCTCACTTACTTGCCTTTGTTTGCCCTTCTTTTCCGTTCTCCCTTTAATTTTTACCTGTTTCCTCTCCACTTATACCTTTTCCTTCCTACCATAGAAAGGAAAATGGGATATTTATGGGATATTTTGGATTATCACAGCTGGAAAAAAATACTTTTGTTTTTGGGATGGAGAGTCTGACTCTGTTGCCCAAGCTAGAGTGCAGTACTGTGATCTTGGCTCACTGCAACCTCCACCTCCCAGGTTCAAGTGATTCTTCTGCCTCAGCCTCCCAAGTAGCTAGGATTACAGGCACCTGCCACCACACCTGGTTAATTTTTGTATTTTTAGTAGAGACGGGGTTTTACCATGTTGTCCAGGTTTGTCTTGTACTCCTGGGCTCAAGCGATCCTCCTGCCTCAGCCTCCCTAAGTGCTGGGATTACAGGCATGAGCCACCGTGCCCAACCAGGCCTATACTACACTACAGGTGGTGGTGTGCACCTGTAGTCCCAGCTGCTCGGAAGGCTGAGATGGGAGACTGAGATGGGGGATCCCTTGAGCCCAGGAGGTGGAGGATGAGGTGGGAGGATCTCTTGAGCCCAGGAGGTGGAGGCTGAGGTGGGAGGAGCCCTTGAGCCCAGGAGGTGCAAACTCCAGTGAGCCAAGATCGTGCTACTGCATTCTAGCCTGGGCAACAGAGCCAGACCCTGTCTCAAAACAAAAACATTTTTCTGTAGATACTGAAATTTGAATTTATATAATTTGCATGTGTCCCAAAATATTATTTCTTTTATTTTTAAAATCCATTTTAAAATGTGAAAATTATTTTGAGCTTGAAGGCTATACAAAAACAGGAACCCATGTTTAGATATGTGAATTTTCACGTTAAAAAAACATGGCCGGGCGCTGTGGCTCATGCCTGTAATTCCAGCACTTTGGGAGGCCGAGGCGGGCAGATCACCTGAGGTTGGAAGTTCGAAACCAGCCTGGTTAACATGGTGAAACCCCGTTTCTACTAAAAATACAAAATTAGCTGGGTGTGGTGGTGTGCGCCTATAATCCTAGCTACTTGGGGGGCCGAGGCAGGAGAATCTCTTGAACCCAGGAGGCGGAGGTTGCAGTGAGCCGAGACCGGGAGGCGGAGGTTGCAGTGAGCTGAGATCGCACCACTGCACTCCAGCGTGGTGACAGAGCGAGACGCTGTCTCAAAAAAAAAGAAGAAGGCTCCAAACCCTTCAGCTTCTGGAGAGGAGGAGCTAGGACATGGGCAGCCAAGAACAAGGACAATTGGTCATATTGGGAATGAGTAGCAGGAGTATGAAAAAAGCCGTATCAAAACAAATGTGCCTTCTTTTCCTTTGTTCACTCAGAGTTAAAAGATCTTAAGGATGTGGTGTCTGTGAGACACCATACTTGGCATACTTTTAGTGAAAGCCTTAGGACAGAAACAAAAGGACAATCTTTGTTGTTTCCATGACGGAACACCAGAACTATGGATTCCACACAGGGGTTTGGGTCTGAAACTTCCTTGTATGCCTACTTAAAGCAATATGTAGTGATTTTTTTTCACAGAGAAAAAAATCTTTCTGGATAATTATGACCACAGGTGGTTGGGTACTTAATGTCCTGTTCCTTGCCTGTCTCCTTCTGCCAGTTATGTTAGGCAACTAAGGAAAATATTAATGTGGAAAGATTTCTAAAAACTGAAACCCAGACACCCATCCCTGCCAAGGGTTTTCCAGGGAATCATTTCCAGGAATGACAAGGTGAGGCAAAAAAACACTTTATGGGCTGGGCGAGGTGGTTCACACCTGTAATCTCAGCATTTTGGAGGCTGAGGTGGGTGGATCACGAGGTCCAGAGATAAAGACCATCCTGGCTAACACGGTGAAACCCCATTTCTACTGAAAATACAAAAAAAATTAGCCGGGCGTGGTGGCACATGCCTGTAGTCCCAGCTACACGGGAGGCTGAGGCAGGAGAATGGTGTGAACTCGGGAGGCAGAGCATGCAGTGAGCCAAGATTGCGCCACTGCACTCTAGTCTGAGCTACAGAGCAAAACTCCATCTAAAAAAAAAAAACAAAAAAAAAAATACCACTTTATGACTAGTTGGCCCTTTGAGTTTGTTCTGGTTATCTGTTGCTATAAAACAGCCATTCCCAAAACAATGGCTTAAAACAAGAAACATTCTTTTGTTTGTTTGTTTGTTTGTTTTGAGACAGTTTCACTCTTGTTGCCCAGGCTGGAGTGCAATGGCACAATCTCGGCTTACCACAACCTCTGCCTTCTGGGTTCAAGCAATTCTCTTGCCTTAGCCTCCCAAGTAGCTGGGATTACAGGCATACACCACCACTCCTGGCAAATTTTTTCATATTTTTAGTAGAGACAGGGTTTCTTCATGTTAATCAGACTGGTCTCAAACTCCCGACCTCAGGTCATCCGCCTGCCTTGGCCTCGCAAAGTGCTGGGATTACAGGCATGAGCCACCAAGCCCTGCCTTTTTGTTGTTGTTTTGTTGTTGTTACTGAGACGGAGTCTTGCTCTGTCTCCTGGGCTGGCATTACAGTGCCACAATCTCAGCTTACTGCAACTTCCACCTCCCAGGTTCAAGCAATTCTCCTGCCTCAGCCTCCTGGGTAGCTGGGATTACAGGCACCTGCCACCATGCCTGTCTTATTTTTGTATTTTTAATAGAGACGGGGTTTCACCACGTTGGCCAGGCTGGTCTCAAACTCCTGACCTCAAGCGATCCGCCTGCCTCAGCCTCCCAAGTGCTGGGAATACAGGCGTGAGCCACGGTGCCCGGCCAATACAAGAAACATTTATTTTCCTTATGACCTGAAAATTGGGCTGGGCCCAGTGGGGGCCGCTCATCTTCATCCCACATGGCATCAGCTGGGGCAGCTCAACTGAGGGCTGGAGAATCCATATCCAAGAAGGCTCATTCACATGGCTGACAGAGGATATTTTTTTTTCCTCTTGTGAGTGTCAATACTTAATTTTGTTGTAGAGACAGGAAGCTGGAAAATACACTATTTAAATTTTACTTGGCTCCCCCTAACATTGTGGAAACCCTCTTTCCCTAAAGACCATGGGGTTTACCACTAGTTGCTTAGGTTTCTTTTTACAGCATGATGGCTGAATGTTACTCTTCAAGAGTAAACATTCCAGGAGATGGGGAGGAGAAACTGCCAGTTTTTAAAACCTGGGTTTAGAAACTGCCACAGCACCTCTTCTTTCACCATATTCTTTCAGTCAACCACACACACAGCCCAGATTCAAGGAGAGGGTACACAAGCCCTACTTCTCAATAAGAGGAGTGTCAGAGAATTTTGGTGCCATGTTTTAAAGTTGCTACAGGGTCCAAAAACCCTCTATGGAACCTTAGATTTAGTAAGCTGAGATGGATTTTACAGAGCTTAGAGAAAACTCTTGTATAATCAAGACAGGCCTAGATGACCTTCCTTCTCTTAGACTCCTCCCTGGCAAGCTAGACCAGATCAACAGGAGCACTCAAAAAGAGAAATAAGCCAAGGAAGTTAGGATCTCCAAGTAGCTTTGGGCCTCTTTTATCACACTGGCAGTCACATGGAGCCAAGCCGAGGACATGGAATTAATAAAAGACACAATACTACACTGATGCTTGAAAACTCAACCCTGCTGCTTGTCCACAGTGAAAGGTCTACTGCTTAGTATCTTGATCCTAATTTGTCTCCAAGGAATCCATTTTGTCTTAGCCATATATTATTGCTCCTTGGAGGTGGCAGAGAAGCATTGAATTCCACCTAGGGGTAAACCACCAGATATGCAATAATAGTATGCCCCAATAAATGTATATAGAAGTGTATGTTACCCAGTAAAGGGGCATTTCCTAACTATATCTATGGACTGAATCTGTAGGCTAAATAAATTTGATTATATCTATTAAATGTCTACTGTGGTGGCTCACGCCTGTAATCCCAGCACTTTGGGAAGCCAAGATGGGTGGCTCACCTGACCTCAGGAGTTTGAGACCAGCCTGGCCAACATGATGAAACCCCATCTCTACTAAAATACAAATTAGCTGGGCATAGTGGCAGGTGCCTATAATCACAGCTGCTTGGGAGGCTGAGGCAGGAGAATCACTTGAACCTGGGAGGTGGAGTTGCAGTGAGCCAAGATTACACCACTGCACTCCAGCCTGGGCGACAGAGCGAGACTCCATCTCAGGA